CGGGAGAACAATTTGAACAGATATCTGAGTCGTGTTCACGATATGTTGAAGACTTTTCAGTCTGTTAACATGCACCATATTCCTAGATCTCAAAATAAAAAGGCCAATACTTTATCTAATATGGCATCATTTTTCTTCACATCATTTATGAAACCAGTCTTCATAGAGATCCTTAATCAGCCTAACTTGGATAATCAGCAGATTTATCTTGTTCAAGGAGGCCTATGTAGACGGACCCTATCTTTGCATACCTTGCTGAGGGAACCTTATCGAAAATCGATAGATAGTCTAGCAAGTATAGTTAAAAGCGGTAAGGTATGCACTGTATGAGGGGCAATTGTATCGAAGATCTTACCTTGGCCCATGGATAAAATGAATTACTCCTGAAAAGTGATATAGCATCTTAAGGGAAATCCATGAGGGATTGTGTAGAACATACTATGGACCTTAAATATTAGCCCGAAAAGCATTCCTGTTAGAATATTTCTGACCTATTATGATCCGTAACTCTCAAGACCTCATACGCACTTGCGAGACTTAGCAAGTGCACACCCTAGAGCATCATCATCCAACTTCAGAGTTGATTCCAATCACTTCACCATGGCTTTTCAAATAGTGGGGGACGGATATCCTAGAACCACACCCCCAAGCGATATGAGGTTACCGATTCTTGTTGATCGCCATTGACTACTTTACAAAATAGATAGAAATCGAGTCATTAACTACCATTACCAAATGGAGTATTAAAAACTTCATTTGGAAGCAAATCATTTGCCAATTTGGTATACTTAGGATAATCATCTCGAACAATGGAAAATAATTTGGTGAAAATCCCTTCCGAGCTTAGTGTGAGAAATTGCACACTCAGCAGTACTTCACCTCGGTAAACTACCTTCAAATGAATGGCCAAGCTGAAAACCTCAATCGAACCATCGTGTAAGGTCTTAAGATTCTCTTGGCTCATACTCACATCTCCTGAGTAGAAGAGTTATCAAGTGTCCTCTTGACTTACCGGACCATTTCATTCACAATTCAAAAAATTCTACTCTCGTTAATCTACGGTATTGAAGTAATGTCCCCGTCAATGCATTTGTTTCGAGTATATATTTGCTCAACTACGTAGTCGAGGCTAATGATCAGGAGAGACAAATTGAATTGGATCTCTTAGAAGAGAAACAACAATTATCCTATGCCCGGACCATATACTATAAAAATATATTAGCTCAATATTACTACTGTCGAGTGAGAGAATGATGATTCGATGTTGGAGATTTGATCATTCGCAAGAATTCTATCAGTTAAACTCAAAACATCAGAATTGTAGTGTTAGCTGGCTTTCAAGACTTCTAAATCCAATTTAGGGTGGTGCTTCCAAACTTCATCTATGGCAGATATCCATCCAAAAGAAAACATAGGCTTATTCATGTCCATTAGGTCCTTAAGAAATTCATTGGACTTGGTATATATGCTCACGGCCTCAAGGGTGCTTAGGTGGAGCTCAATTTTGTAGGTCTTAACCTGTTTTTTCAACCAAATCTCACACTCCTCCAGAGCAGTTTTCAAAAACTATAGTCAGATTGTCAAATCTTTATTCACAGTCTAGAAGTCTTTGGCTTTCTGAGCCTTTGCTTTGGCTGCTTGGACTTGCTCCAATAACTTAGGGCACTTTTCTAGTAGCTTGCTATATTAGAAGATGATATTGGCAATGAAAGCATCACTCCATGACAAAAAAAGAAATTAGGAAATTATAAAATGATACAAGAAAAAATTTAAATGAATGATCACTATATACCCCGGCCTTAGTGACGAAGTGGTCCTCCAGAAGTTCTACCGGACTCCTCTATTTGGTGGAAGCTCAGTCACGGGGCAAGATCAAAGCCAAGCACAAATTTCAGGCCACTTAGGGAAAGGAAGCATGATCATTGACATTAACCTCCTAATTCGGGTAGAAATACTTGAGAGGGTGAGTGGTATTTCCCTCAGGGATGGACACGGGAGGGACAGAGTGTTGCGACCAAAGTGAGGAGGTTTCTTGCATAATCATTAATCCTTTCCCCTTTCCAGGGCCCGAGGTCTTCTCAAGAGTGATAGGTGTTCGCTTGTATGCCACTGTGACCTCTGTGTTGTCGGCGATCGTGATAGGAGCCAAGACGGAAACAATCACCGTGGATCTTAAGGTGTCACTTCGGGCAATCTTTGCGGTGGGTTTTCTCAAGGTATCTCTTCCCGACTTTCTCTTTCTTTTCGCAATCTCAATACCAGAAGAAGCAATCATGTTGGTGATGTTTTTCACTGTAAAAATGAGAGATACATCAGTTAGCAACCTTGATGCTCAAAAAAATTAAAGGAGCAGGATTTACAATTTTTCTTAAACCTCTTTCAATAATAGGGTTTGCTTTTCAGATTGATGTAGACACAACTAATACCACCATTGGCCAACACAGTCTCAAAAAAAGGTAACTAAATATAATCAAATTGGATTTGTTTAATTTTTTGAAGGGTTCCTCTTTTACGTTCCTGGGGTCTGGGTCAGTATCTGCGCCTATCAACCTCCACCAAAGGCCCTTTGAAAAAAACTTGCAGAGAATGAAGAAGAACCTATGTTTTCAATACTTTATAGAGGAATGGGGGTCCACCATAAGAAACCTCATTTGCATCTTCAGTTGGGAATAGGCCCCAAAATAGAACCTCCAATTGTCTTATCCTTTGCATTTGATCGTTTAAAATCTCCTAAATAGATCTACCGAGACCTCCACTTAAGATGTTTGCACAACATCTCAAAGCCGACAAGCGTACAGATTGCGTTCAGCATTAGTTGGGTGATTCAAACCCCTTAATAAAAGAGACTAATCCGGAGGAAACTTGTCAAGTAAAGTCACAATCCCACCTTCACTTGTTCACGGTAGATCGCCACGTAACCTCGAGAAGGCCAGCAGGCCCTTTCTTCTTGCTTCAGGACTTTGGCTCTCATATTCAGAGGCCAAGAATAGTAGTCCAATATGTCTTGCACGTTCTTTCATGACACAAAACTCTCAAACTCAAATACTAATCTGATGTCAAATTCAGCCAGATTCTCTAGAAACCTAGGTACCTCAGGAGATTCATAAAATTCATGTATTATAGGGCGGTTAGTAGGATGGGTTGAAGTACCTTCTTAAGAGCCCTCAATATTATCGATGTCCCCTTCAGGGACACTTGATTCAACTTGTTCATTGGGATTCTCTCTCAAACTGGTTTCTATTCTTGAGGCTCGTGGGCGGCGGTGTACCCCTCATGCCATGTTGAATTACTTACTTAGATTTACTTCGAAAGAAAGGAATATCCATACATAACTCTAAAAAATATTGCCAAAGTTGACAAGAAAGCCATGTAGAAATTGAATCACTACGAGAACAAAAAATCAACCAAACATATGTGAGAAGAAAGGAAAAGACAAAAAGAAGACTAAGTCCCCTATTTATAGGAGGCTACAAACAAAAAGTCTGTTCATTGAATTTTCTCGAGATTTTGAAATTCAAAATTGACTCGTAATTCGTGCCCTGCTATAATTGACTTGACTCATCGACTCTGACGAATGTCCTGTCAACACCTATTTCCATAATGATGGGCATGATTATATGCTGGTAGATCGCCTGAGAAAACCTCCCGAGCTAGGGGCCTAGTTGAGTGATCCGAGTGTGGCTCTTCAGATCCCATGCCTTCTCGAGATCTTTACACTATACAGGGATATATTCTTAAATTTTGGAAGGTATCACGAGACGTGCATGGGGATGACAAGGAATGATTGATGTGACTTCTAACATAAAAATAGGCTTTAGTGGACCCATCCTGTTAATGTACAGGACCTATGGTTGACCTATAGCTACGCTCTATTTTATAAAAGCAATTCAAAGTTTGAGGCTCCCTTTTTCCTTGATTATTATAAATAGCTTCATATGAACAAGAAATAGAGGTAATAGTAGAATTCCATCTGAAACTCCTCATTTATTGTTTACCACACTCCTAGCTAATTAGGCACCAAAGGTAAAATAGGGAGAAAGCCCCGTTTCCTCTCTCTCATTTTGCAAGGATTTTGAGAGTTTGCCGACCTCACCTTCTCGTGGAATTCCTTACTTGCACATATATAAAATAGGAAACTCTACAAGTAATATTTCCTTGAGAAATTTCTTATGGTATATAATTTAACATTAAAAAATTTCCTTGACAAATGAGTCTGGAAACTAGAGGGTGACAAAGGAACATTTTTTTTTAAATGAATGCTTGGAAGATTATGCAAATGTGAAAAAGAGTCTAGATAACCTCAAACATAAATTAAAGACATCAAGAAAAAGGAAAAAAAGGTTGCATAACTACAAATCTTTGAACAGAATTTAAATAAACCAAAGAGGTGAATACAATGATTAGTTGAAAAAAGAAATCTTGAATCAGGGAAAAAAAATGCATGAACAATGTACCAACAGTGAAAGAAAAGATATGTCATGAGTTTCCTCAAATTTATGGTGACACGTCTATGTAGTGATTAAGTACCCTTTGCTGCAGCTAAAGTCCCCCACAGCCAAACATCACCAAGTGATTCTCCTGAAGTTAACTAGCCCCCTAATTGCATGATTAGGAGATGGACCTCGAGTCAGAGTATCCTATTGATTTGCCTAATGTGACTTGTGCCGCCTGATACATTGCTGTGGCAAGTCTACGACTGACATCACCAAACTACTCTTAGCCATGATGTCAGCATATGGACCCGATTTTCCATAATCCTTACTCTTCTCTACTAGTATAAATACCCTCCATTCTTTCTCACTGAGGAGGTAACCATTATTACTCCTAGCCTTCTTAGGTATCTCAGCTTTTTGCCTCTTTTACATACTTAGGCATTAGAGTTCCATCGGGGGATAGCCTCGCTTCGTTTTCGTGCTGTGTTGCAGATCTCAGCCCGAGTTGTTCATCAACGAATTGCACCTCATCCGCACAGGTATAGAAGATTAATCCGAAAATGTCAGTTACTCATTTTGCTTGGACCATTTTTCACTGAATCCCAAAATTTTTCCAAAAAAGGTACAAATTAGGGCCATTTTATTCGTCAAATCCTAGGTGGATTTCATACCTAAACTGATAAAATAAAGAGCCTACATACCAAAACTCTCGTGACCATACATAGAAAGTGAAAGATTAATTTAACCTATTCTACCAACTTATTAAATATCAGATCTAGCCAAGTTATTAGACAGATAGATACATGTACTCTCTCTTCGACTACTATACATATGTCTAGAATGTTTTGTGTCAACTGAGCCATAAGAAATTCAAATTTTTAAGCATTTGATCTTTTGGATTTTGGTCATTTTTCTTCTGAATCTTTTTCTCACTTGGAATAGGGCTTGAATATGGTAAAAGGGAAAAGAAAAGATGATTCAAATAGAATTCCTGCCTTCTTCAAGGCTTTCATCCCGAATACCAGCACAGAGAGATTGGTAAGTTCTTCTTGTTGTTTCCCTGTAAGGTTTTGTTCCTATTATATACTTTTTGGAGTATATATCTAAGATTTTATGAGGGTGATTGAATATAATTCTGATTTCCTTCTTTATGAGGTGTTTGTGAAAAGGGAGGAAGAAAAGGGGTGGAAGGCAGTGTAAATTGAAAGACAGAAAATTTGGTTTTCATTCTATATAATAGAATGAAATGATAAATTTAGGCATAATCTGTAAGAGAAATGTAGGAACACAAACATTTTTTGGTATGTAATTTCTATATCTAATATTTCTACTAAAATTTGTATTAGTGAACATGTGATGCACGTGAAAACTTTGTGGGCAATCTAGATTAAATTCTGAATTTTGATGTGTCACAGCCATCAAGTAATGCAAATTGATTTTTTGGTCATGAATTTAATCTAGTAAATAATTATGAATAATGTCGAAGAACAGATGACAAACGATAACCAAAGCATCAATAGAGTAACATTTTTGCACAGAAGAAAAAGCATTATAACATTCTTGCCTAATAAACACTTATAGATCTACATTTTTCTGTAAAAGTAAGATTAAAAAAAAAAGTGATCTTGTCATGAAACTTCGCTTCTTAGATAATTTTATCAATTAAAGCAGTCACGTTAGAAGCTTACATAACAAAGAAACCCTGGCCGTAAATTGGGCCTTACTACTTCAGGATTTTTTTGCAAGTGATCAATCTGGTTGTTGTTTTTGTAAACATAAATTTATTTTCTCTTTTAGAATATTTATTTATTTTACCTAAATAGTTTCGTTCTTGTATTTTTGGGAAGGTCTGATCGGGAAAGGAATCGGTATTGTAAATATTTTAACAAATATATAAGTTGATTTTTCGCTACCTACAAAAAAAAATTGCTTGTTTTGCGCATGATGCCTAATTGCCTATTGGATATGTCATATATATAATGTAGGTGCTTTGTAATGATTAATCATAAGAGCAAAATTGAGCCAAAAACCTCAAAACATATGTAATGATTTGGCTCTCATTACTAAAATTGCATCCCTCCTTTCCCTTGGCTTTAGATACTTTAATGTCATAAAAAATTTCTGATTATATGTCTCTTGTCAGAAAATTCCTATTGCATTTACAAAGATGATTCGAGGAAGCCTACCTGACAAGGCATTCTTGAGGGATCGCTATGGAAATATATGGCCAGTGGAGCTTGCAAGAATTGAGAATGCAACTTTTTTTCTTGAGGGCTGGGCAAAATTTGTTAAAGATAATTCTGTGGAACTTGGAGATTTCTTAGTTTTTCATTTTGATGGCAATTGTGTTTTTAATGTAAAACTTCTCGGGCATACTGCATGTGATAAGAAAGGAGTTGGAGGTCGTATGTTTAAAGTCAAGGAAGAGGAGGAAAATGAAAAAGAAGAAGATGAAAAGGGTGAAAATGAAAGCTTGCAAAACAATTATAATACTGTTGATGAAACTGATCATAATGAAGAATACAATGCAGAGGAGGAGGAAGAAGAAGAAGAAGAAATGCAAGTCCAACAGAAAGCCAAGTCTAACCAAAGAGCTGCAAAACCAAAGGCTTCTTGCAAGGGTTTGAAAAAGATTAAGAAAAGCATCAATGGCATGTTCTTTTTAGTTTTTCTTTACTAGTTATTTGGTTTTTCATTAGATATTATTTACTAAAATCCTGGCCTTTTTTTTTTAACTAATCGGATTAACAGGACCAGCTGATCTAGTCAGCCACAAATCTGGAACTGAAGCTAGCAAATGCAATTTGTGGAAGGCAAAACGAATAGATGCTTATGGTTTTAATCTTTTCAAGTCAGGAAAAATTCCCCAGCCAAAAAATCCTTATTTTGTCACAAAAGTAAGGACAAAGAGGCAAGATGAATTGGTAAGTTAAATTTGTCTGCAGCTCTGAACGTTTTTTTGTTTTTTGGTTCTCATATATACGCATTACAGATTTAAATATGTTCACATATATTTACTTGATATCCTTGATTTTCGACCGACTTGAGAATTTATTGCGCACAATTATATTTCAACTTCTAATAATCAAGTCCACCTCCACATACAAGAAATGTCTATGGCTACATATTTGGCTTTAAGGGAAAAAAAAAAGGCATTTCTCTTGATTGATTAAGATCACCTATGTTAGAATATTAGTTACTTGTAAAAACTTTACAGCATTGTTGGATGAATGCAGTATGTTCCAGTTGATGTTGTTAAAGACCACAATCTTGAATTCCCACCAGAGATTGTCCTCCATGATCCCAAGGGGAGGGAGTGGCGTGCGAGACTTCGCCGGTGGTCGGATGGTCGTATATGGTACTGTGGTGGCTGGCGATCCCTCTGCAGACTGAACCTGGTTGGAGAAGAAGACATTTGCATTTGTGAGTTTGTGAAAAGAGAGGGTGGAGGGCTTCGCATAAATGTGACATTTGTCCGCCCAGAAGATCTTGCATAAATTCATAAGAAATAGCTCCTGAAATGGTGGATCAAGATACTCGATCATCTTTATCTTGTTTATTTGCAGAATTCAGTTAAACTTGTTTGGTTTTCATTATGGTTAATTAACTGTGACCTTGTTGTTTGTTTATTGTGGATTTTATGGTAACCTTGGATGCTTTATCCATTGTCAAGACTGCAAAGTTCAGGTTTTGGACTTTGGATGGTAATTTGTTTTGTTCATCAACTTCGTCTGGTCTGGTTTTCATTTGTGTTTTGAAAGATTATGTGATTTTTCTTCATCCAAGGAACATGCTTTCCCTATTAGGGCATTTATTATCATTAATTTCATGCACTGATTATATGCATTTCCACACATAAAACATAGTGTGGATCAACAAATGTCTTAGGTAAAAGTATACAGTCCTCAGTAAATTTAAGTGAAGCATGCAGGGTTTTTCTTTTCCTACATATACACTCTTCTTGTTTTACTAACCATTCTGTTTCTCAATCAGTGGGTAGACTGGTGATTTAAACTTTAGACATATTTTGCTGCTTTTCATCTTTATCCATTTTTGTATTTGGATAGTTGCCATCAAAATTTATTTGTTTAATCATGTATTGACAGTAGCATCAAAAAGGAATTAATTAACAAGATGTTTTTGAGATATTCCTCTAAGCCCTTGTTTCTCTCTTCTTCTTTTTTTTTTGTGTAATGTCAATAAAGATTCATTGTGGCAAGGCCTCAACTAATTGGAAAAGGATTTGGAGACATTGGAAAGAAGGAAAAGATTGGCTTATTCCCTTGAGTAACTCAAAAATTCTTTTTCATATACTCAGGTGATCATCTTCTTCTCTATCTAATTTCTAACTTAATATTCTCCACTCGAGCATAATTGCCCTCTTTCATCTCATGCTTCAAGCTACAGTTCAAAGTGTGACTCTAACATATCCAAGATGCAATCATTTGCATCAATTCGATGGGATAAGCAGACATGCATAACCAATCTTGTCAAACTTTACAAATAAATTGCATCCATTAATTCTTTAGGTCTACTAGGTGACGTGATTCCAACCTCAATTGCATCAATCCATTTGATCTTGAAGATAATCTCTAGGTCTACCAACAAATCAACTAAAAAAGAAAGAGTAGACTTTAGTGTAGGAATGTGGATTTATTCCTACAATTCCATTGGACTCTAGCTTATCTGGCCTCCAACATGACTAGAGAAATGAGAAAATATCCAAGGAATATGTCTCATCAAAATCTTTACATGAGGATTTATAGCAAGAGCAATTCTAGTAGGATTATATCAACCCCTCCCTCCAGCTTTATATACAGTAAGATACTTGCATCTTTACATGAAGCACAACATCAAATAATTAAACAACAGAAAGGGTCCAAATTGCATTCAACATTTGCAGCTAATTTCAATAATAATCATATCCTGCAAAATGAATTATTAGTGCTTTCGCCTAGCAGTTTAACAACTCAACTCTTGCCCCCAAAAAGCGTCTAAATCAGCTGCAATGCAGAAGCGTTGCGTTGTAAACTTTTATCAAACTGTTTTGGTTGTAGGCACATTGTAGGCCTTAGCAAGATCCAAGATCCAATTCATTCCCAACGGACTAGAACCAGACCAAAGTATCATCTTCCATTGCGAAAGAGCCCAAATTTTTTCCTCTTGTTCCAGACAAAGGTTAAAGAAATAGAATTCAAGAACCAAAACTGTTAGGTTGGCTTGTTTCTTTTGGATTCAAAATTAGAGTTCGACTCTTTTGACTCTTGAATTCCAAATATTCTGTCAGATTCTCAAGCCAAATTAAAGTTACAATGTAAATAAAGTAAAAAATTTACACCATCCCAAGTGATTGGATTTAAGTTATACCAGACAATTGGTCTTCAAACTTGTTACATTACCGCTTCAAGACAAGTTCTATGAATTATGTTACAGTTTCAGTTGCCAACAAGAATTTGGTCTGGAGACCAAAGTGACCACAAGTCCAACAATTGTAGCTAGTGGTCCAAGTACGAACAGCTGAATTTAAGGGAACCACGTCACAATTATTGGTTCCAAATCCTAGGAACTTATTACCATAAAACACAACTTTCTTGGCCAGAAAAGTGTGTGACTTCAGTTAATTCCCTTCCCTTCTAATTCCTATAAACTCCCTGAACAATGCTTTTCACAGAAAAGGTAAAGACCAACAAAAGAATCGCTTAAAATTGGCTGCAAATGGTCATTTTCTATGATGATCATTCCGATTCAATTGATCTGGATAGTTTTGCACATTACTGTATCAATATCTGATGTTGACTCAATTATGACAGTCCACATGATTATTACACTTAGCATTAAATAGACTCACAATTATTGGAGCAGGCACTGGCCAGAGTGTTGGAATCAGTCACCATGTTTAGGCCACTAAATGCTCGATTAGGGGTCCCCTAATCCTTGTTTGAAGGCAGCTTAGTGAAGAGACAATAATGTCCTTTTCACAATTACTAATGGTCTTTATCTTTTTTTTCTGTCGACACGATAGCTTTCTTATTCTACTCCTGTTCCAACTCTATATTAAGGAGGAGGGGGTGGGCCCAAATTGGTCAAGGGAGAACTCGAAAGGAACTGAACCAATACCGGACCAAACAGATACCTTTGCACCCGTTGGTGAAATTTCCAGAAAATTTTGAAGATGAACGCAAGTCAAGAGATTCGATCATTTGACCTGCACTCAAAGAGAGCCTTTTTCTGGTGAAGAGTAGTTGGTTACTAATAGTCTTTATCAAACTATTCATCTTTTAGGATGAATTAGACTACTCGCCGCCCTTCATTAGGATAGTATACCCTACTTAGAAAGGGCTATTTACCGAAAGGACAGAGTTGTCCTTTTCAAATCTGGCCATGGTCTTTATAAAACTTCAGTCTAAAGGACAAACTTGACCATTCGATACCCTAAAAGACATTGGGTGTACCCTACTTATCATGGGCTGTCTAGGGAAAAGACAATAATGTCCTTTTCACATCTTGTTATGGTCCCAATGACCTATCAATCTTAAGGATGAACTGACCTCTCAAGGCCCTTGAATTTTTTGGCGTCAATCCTACTAAAAAGGCGTGCTTGGTTGAAAGATAAAAATTGGATGTAAACAAGTTTGATCGAATCAAATTTTAGTTCAAAATTACACTGAAGTTTATCTTCTTTGTTCAAGATGAATTCAAATTAGCTTTTTAATCATTTGAAATTGATTGAGTAACTTGAATTTTGCGTATATGAAGTTATCAATCTTGGTCGAATCACTGTAAAACTTTTACAAATGCCAAGTATTATTTATCTTTAACATGATTAGTTAGCGGGTGAAGTCCCAACAAGCTCAGAATAAAGCGAGCTCAATCCAAATATCATATAGCTTAATTCATTTTTCAGCTAAGCTTATCCAGATAAAAGCGTCCATTTTACAGCTGTTTATCGTGATAATCATTTCACTTGAACTTGAGGATGATCTTGACCATTTAACGCCCTTAATTAACAGAGTATACCCTACTTATAAAGGGTGTCTAGATCAGTGCCACATGCATTATTGGAGCCATGCATCTATGTTTAGCTGGCTTGTGGGATCCAATGAAGAAAAAACATTTTGAGTTGGCAAATATTTTGCATTAAATGCTGTTCTTGGCTTATAGCAATTCCAACTTCAAACCAAACGCATTCCTCTACTGTCTATATGTTTGTGTGGCTTTCTTTCAGTCTTGTCAGAGGAGAATGTGTGGCACATATCAGAATCCACTAGAGAGGATTGTAGCCTTTTGATGGGGTTTGCAAGTATTAGCAGGGATCAATTTATTTTTTTTCCAATTACTACCAATTAGGTATTGTTTCCTACATTTACAATCGTTTTCTTTCTCAGTTAGATGGATCTGGAACTGTTATTAGTATGAAAGGCTTCAATTGGCTGGTTAGTTTTGAGAAGCGTTTCACCAAAAGAAAAAAAAATTTACTGTAGTACTTCTATAGATGACTTATTACGGTATGAAGTAGAAAAATGACTCGATTATGTATTTGGAATTCAAAAAACAAAATGTTTAAGTTTCATTACTTTTGAGTTTTGGAATTCTTAAAAAAAATTAATGTTTGAGTTTCACTACTTTCGAGTTTAGTCTAATTTTGTGCTAGTATTTATCACACAAGTTGTAGGCCAACTATAATGCCTTTAAATTGTATAAATATGTTTGTATTAAATCCAAAACTAAGTTTAGATTCCTCAATTTTTTAAAAACAAGTTTTTAATATACAATGTTACAATAATACACAAACAAAAACAACTTCAAAAACACCACATTCATACAATATATCAAAAACAACTCCAAATGCATAAAAAAAAATACACCACTACCCATCACTCTCCACCACCTTACCGTCCACGTCTCTCTCTCTCTCTCTCTCTCTCTCTCTCTCTCTCTCTCTCTCTCTCTCTCTAACCGCAACCTTCTCGATCGCAACCAGAGAGTCGCGGCAAAAAGCCATGACTCATGGCTTCTACTCGCTACCTTTCTGGTAACGACCAAAAAGGTCGCGACTAGAGTGGTGGTTAGAGTCGCAATCATCATTCGCGAGTGGGAGAAGGGTTTGGGGTTGGGGGAAAGAGGGGAGGGGGGAGAAGGGAGAGGAAAGAGGGAGGAGGAGGAAAGAAAGAGAGTGGGCAGCAGGAGGGAAGGGGTGATGGTGGAGGGTGGTGTAAATTTTTTATAAAAAAAACCCCAAAAAAGTTGTAAATTATAAAAATACCCTAAAATATATTTAAAAATTCCTAAAAATACTTCTAAAAACAATCCAAAAAACATATAGTAAAAGTTTTTCATATACACAGCTACAATAAAGCTTTTGAAAAACACTTCCAAAAACAATTAATCCAAACAGAACCATTGGTCAATTATAAGCATATATCAATAAAAGTAATATATGTATATAAAGTACACTTAATTGTAAAAGTCAGAATTACAATACACATGTTGTAACTTTTTCCTTATCATTCTTTTGTATAGCATTTGGGAGTTATTTATAAATAATTATTTCCATGCATCACAAAAACGCTTTTCAGTCGATTTTTTTTCAACTACATTTTTGTCTCACATACATCACATTATAAAAAATATTATAATAATTATTTCAAATAATCTCATATCGAAACTTACCCAATGTTTGGTATTGATTCTCATTATCATTTTTATCAAATTACCAAAGCAGTAATAATCAAACTAATGAATG